GCACATATTTCAATTCTTGCTAACACTTAAATAGAATACATGGAATTATTACAGATGGAGGAAAATTTCCGAATGGTTTGTTTTTTGTTATTACGTGTTTTACAAACATTTTACTAGCTTGTTAAGTCTTAACATGTTTTTTTTCTAGTGATACCTGATCATACATCTGGAAAATTTATAATTCGCGCTGCGACAGCGGAAGATCTACGTAATCTTAGGCCAAGGGTTGTGAAATGCTTTGAGGCAGCAGCCGAAGCAACCGGAGCAAGGTTAGAACTTACGTGGGGCATGGAAATTTGCGGTATTGTTTTTTTTTATAACATTAATTCTCGTGAAATGATCGTGTGGATGACATTGTTTGTTATAAATTTTCGCACAGATGTTAAAATAAATGAACCACTTGCAACGAGATATGAGAATTACATGAGAACAAAATTTGGTGTAGAAATTAAATCAAAAGAGTTTCAACTATCGCTTCCCAGTGCGTCAACGGATCAGGGGAATGTAACATATGCGATCCCAGGATTCCACCCATTTTATAATATTCATGTAGATTGGGCGAATCTTAATCACACGCCAGGTTTTACCGAAGCGGCTGGAAAAGAGATCGCACATGTTGAAACCATCAAAGCAACCAAGGGAATGACGTTGGTTGGATTGGACTTTTTGATTGACGAAGAGTTTGCCAAAGAAGTTAAAACTGATTTTGAGGGGATTAAAGCAGTGAAGTGATTTAGATCTTTGAGGAGCCAACAATCCAGATTTATGTATCATATTAAATAAGTGAACAGATGTGCACCCTTCATCCTACATGGTTTTGTCTAGTGCCCTTGTTTTTCTATTGTTACGTTAAATGTGAATTGCTAAGCAATACAGTATAGTATAAGAAATCTTTGCGAAACTCCACGGTGTTATTTCTAATTATGTTTTTAGGTCACCGCCACTAGGGCTATACTGTACATGAAATTATTATATGCACCCTAAACTTCTTAATTAATCATACCCCGGATAATTAATTATACATATGCTCTGCATATGCATGCTAACCACTAACCACAGCATTATGAACGCTTATTCATATCGAGAATCGATAACGCATGCTGTACTGATAATACTTACTAACGCAAAGAAAACTCCGAACACACATCCGATTTGATATCACATACAAATATAGTATCGTGTGTACATATATATTGTTAGCGTTACGTTATTTGGTTTGGCACAAACAATACTTGCGACACAAATCGTACAACAGCTATACCATTTGAATTTTATCTTAAATTTATTGTAGTATAGAGTCCATGTAAAATCCTAATATGCAGATGAAATAGACCCGTTCTTATATTAATCAATAGTTTGCATTATCTTCCCAAAACGTTCCCCTGAACTTTGTTCTGAATTTTTCTTTTTCCTTTTTCTTTATTTTTTCCTTATTATCATATACATACATATATTATATTAATATCAACAAACCTTTTTTTTTACGACCAAAAAAGAAGTCGGATCAATGTTTGGAAAGAAAAGGACGCTGCCAAAGTGGCAGAATTTTTTAAATTCCGTCATTACGATTTTTCTAATTTCCGGACTATCGGTTAATGGATGTGGGATGAGTGTTCACAATGAAGTTTCCATTCGCGCAGCATACACCTTTAATCCCGTTATCAAGGAATATACAAAATACGCCGATTACATTAGACAGAATCCTCAATTTGTGCAGGTACGTGTACCACCTTCGGGTTATTCCACCGGAAGGTCGGAAATCGTCTGATTAGAGGTATCTTTCTATTACAAAAGATATTTGACGATTGTTTTTTTAAATTAAAAAAATACTGTTCTGACTTGAATTCTCGGGTTTGCCAAGAAATAGGCGGGATCATTTTTCCCTGATTGGTATGCACGGTTCAATTTACTTCATGTTCTATAACAAAAAAATTTTTCGCTCACAACAAACCTTAAATTTCAGGGGGTATGATTGTCAAAATAATAACGATGCTTCGGAAGACGGTTCGTTCTTTTTATACCTTGATAATTAAAGTGCACTGCCCCTGCATAGCAATAACGTGTCTTCATTGACAGCACACTGGCCCCCCTTCTTTAAGGCTGCCACCGAATATATTCGTGATAAATTTGATAGCGGTGAATGGGATAGGAATGATAAGCACGCTCAGGTTTGAATTCGCGATAGATATTGCATAGAATGGAATTCATTATCCAAACTTCAAATAACTATTTCTTTCTAGGGTGTAATCTCGTTCCTCTACGCGATAGTGTCACACGGTTCCGCCGACGTGTCGTGGCATAGCTTAGGGATGCACACCGGATTCATTACTGTAATGTCCGAGGTGAATTTCAATCAAGATTGGAACGCTGCCCATTCTGCAGCAGACGCGGGTGGCGAATTCACTCTTTCGCACATGGTCAATCTGGATCATTTAGAAGTGAGGTTTTTCTTAACATTTAGGAAAATCATTGTCTTCACCTTCTCTTCAATAACTTTTTCTTTAAAATAGGACAAATGGCAGGTGCCGGTGGATGATGTGATTGAGATATATAAGCGCATTAACAGAACTGTGCAGCGAATTCACATTGATTACTGTGTTAAACGAGCGTTTGCAGCCATTCAAGCAAATAAAGTAAGTTTCCCTGCATGAGGTTAACAAAAAAATCAGTAAATCTTGATGAATTAGGAGATTGAGGTGTACTGCGTGACGTCTTTTTAGGACCCATATGTTTAATTTTTCACTCAAGAGTAAAGAAGAATTATTATTGATATTCGTAAAGGGTTAGTATAATTATGCCTATACCAAGTAATTTTCTCTCTCTCTCTTTTTTTAGAGATTTGGAAAAATCTTTTTTGGTGCATACGGTGAAAAGGTAAGGAGGGATTTCTTGTTTCTTCTTTTTTGTGATAGACATGTCATCTTATTCTTTTACACTAGTCACCGTTTTTGATCGAAAAATTGGAAGAGTATCATCGTGGAGGTAAACAATTCGATACTCTCGAATCTTGCAATTTATTTCTTCTATAGATTCTTCATCAGAGTAAATTCTCATATTCATTCCTTTTTCAATAAGGTTTAAACAGTATGGGTGCTGAGACTCACGATTGTTGGAATGGCCTCTCAAACTGGCTAGAAAACGGACCGCCTGTTGACGTCCTAGGAATCTGTGATACATTTCATCCGTCGATTGAAAGTCCAATGAGAAATTGTCCACTGTTAGACACAGATCTTGATCGGTTTTTTCACACCTATGCCACGGAACTGTTAGCATCCAACGGATTCGTCATCAATTTTCACTCGGATTTGCATGGTGTGACGCATTATGAGATTCATAGACAAATGAGCGAAAGGACTCTTGGCTTCGAAGAGATATCAAAAGAGTCAACCCCAGGTGACATCAAATTCGATCAAATATTCCAAGATGTCATTCCGGATAGCTCACAAGGTTTTTCGGGAAAAAGATCATCAACGCAAGATAATATCAACTTAAATATGAGATTAGCACCTAAATGTCGACAGGTACCGAACAATGAAGATTCTGTAGTGACCTTAGATTTACCATACGATTATGCCTCGTTTGGTCATGACATGGTCGTAGGAGATTTCGATGGTGATGGAATTCAAGATTTAGGTGAATGTTAAAAATAATGAGATTGAATTTCCAGTACATTAGGTTAAACAACTCATTGGATTTTACCATAGCAATCAGTGCACCATTTTACAGCAGAATTCTTAGTGTCCCACAAACCGGTGCCGTGTTTTTATTCTATGGAGGTAGAAGAAAAGGCAAATCACAACCTCAACCGCCTTTTAACACCACCAACATCCTACAACTCGCAGATCAGGTAATATTTGAGCCTGAATCCGTCAAACAATCCCGGTTTGGCTGGTCGCTTGCAGTGGTCGACCTAAATGCCGACGGTGTCGACGATCTGGCTATCAGTGCGCCGTCATATGGGGCCCCGCTAGGTCCGTACACTGGGAAAGTGTACGTGTATTTTGGACGTGCAAACTTAACAGAACCAGTGTTCGATGCTAAAAAAGAAATGAATAAATTATTTTCCGTTGCAATGTTATTTCGAAATCCGTTGTTTGGGAGTATCATTTCCAATGATGATCAGGAAGAAAAGTTTGGATTGCCGAATCTCCCAGATTTAAGGATTAAATCACACAAAATGAATAGTAGCGAATGGCATGTGGATTCATTTGGACACGTGCTAACGTCAGGCGATGTAGACGGTGATGGATATCAAGACTTATTGATAGGATGTCAGTACTGTGGTCATTACGATGTATTGAGAAACGTAAGTCTTAATTTGCATTACCTTTGAATATTTTTCGTAAGTGATTTTTATCCCAAAATTTCTCCTTTTACCCAGCCACGTTTGCTTCAAAGTGGGGGGGTATTTGCATTCCACAGTAGTAGCCTACACCACGGAAACATCACAGTATTTGAAGCCGATTGGTCATTAGACAGTCCTGGTGATCAAAATTACGAGTGGTTTGGTGCCGCGGTTGAAGTACACACAGGAAATAATGGAAGGCCAATAGTGCTTGTCGGGGCACCAGGACATAAGGATGAAAAGACACAATCAGTTGGAAGAGTTTATGGTTTTGAGGTGGCGGGAGACGGTAAAGGCGGAAAATGGATGCTAAATCTAAAATTCGATTTAAGCGGTACGGAGGAATTCCAGGGATTCGGGAGGTAATAAATAAATTAATGAATATTAATGCTGTATGCATATTCAGTAGATTTAGCACGTATTGTTCCTAATTTTCGAAGCATTTAATTTAGTAAGATCATCGCAGTCGATTTTCTTGAAAATGAAGATAGATATTTTATCGTCACTTCTCAATCAGAGGTTGGTGTTTCGTTGTTTACACTACCTAATATACTTATTCTCCTTTCCTGACATTTTTATTTTTAATAAAAAAGTTGCGAATACAAAAATTCCCACGTTACAAGAAATGTTGGCAAGCTGGTGCTATACGAGTTGTGGATATAAATTACCTAGGAAAAGGTTCCCTATTGTCTGACGAAACAATGGCGATAGGGCGTGGTGTGCTTTCGATACTTAAGGGCACCGAGAATGCGGCACACCTTGGTACTGCGTTATATTGGGATAATGAAGAGCATGATTTTTGGACTTCGGAACCATTTTCTTTTTGGGGTTTGTACTTTATTTGTTTTGAGTAGACACCCTTGGCTTAGTCTGAAAAGAAAATTTCTTTATAGAATCAGGACAGGTGTTTCGATATCCATTGAAATCTCTCTTATCATCAAGCAAGGGCGACTCAAAATATAACGATGATGATTTTGACGTAAGCCTTGATTTGGCAGAAGAATGTATAGTAGGTCAAGAGAAACAAGCAAGGTTTGGCAATAAAATTTTGAAATTTGATTTTAACGGCGATGGAAAGAAAGACGTGATCATTGCTTCAGAGCATTCGAGTTCAGTGGCTAGGTAAGTTGCGTGAGAGGTGCGATATATCCGATTACCGAGGGAATATAGTCATCTACATTTTACATTTACATTTTGTAGGTTGGGTGGAAGTATTACGATTATATTGAGTTAAAGTCCAATAAAGGCTTTTCCATCCGCGGCGGAATTTGATGGGTAGCCTACCATCGGTTAATACTTTCAAGTAGAACTAAACTTAGAATTATATTTATTTATTGAAAGCTTGATTTTTTTTTGTATTTATACTCTTATCTGTATTTATTTATTCCATCACATCTACTGTGACAAAATTTTACTTACCTTTGAATAATACCATAAAAAAGAATTTATGTTAAATATTGTACATTTCTCGCATCAAAATGTGATAATCCTTGTTGCTTGACATTATATACGCATTGCATTGTTCTCATCCATTTTTTGTTGAGTTATAAGAAAATTGTGCATGCCATTTATAATGTAAGCCTATCCTTTATGGAATGGATCCTTAAATTAATCATATTTAAAGGTCGCATTGAAAAGAAAGTACTGTATAACGTTGTGATAAACTAATGCTTTGTAAATAAATCACGAGAGCGGATGTAACGTACGAGATACTGTACGGTGTTGTAAAAAAAAATGTGAAATTAAAAAAAAAAAACACTAAAATGGTTACATATAGAACTTATTTACATTATATAAAGATTTGCTCAGAAATAATAAAGGAAAAACCAATGTGTCGAGTCCTACACCCTGAGGCCACTGCACCAATCTGATTTAGTGACCTTAGTCTACAAAGGTTAGAGACCTGTATTAATATTAAAACTTCTTTTTAATATACACATATATATACAGTATATACTATATGTAAAGAAAAGGTTCTATACAAAGCTTAAATGGAAATTCTAATCAAGGATTTCATGGCCATAAGTGACAAGAATGGTGATAATTTTTATAATACCATTTCATAGAGGTTTTTTGCAGTAAGTAGTTAAGACTTGACTTAATAGATCAGGTATTTAAACTAGTAATAGGATCCTTACCTTCTATGTAAGATTTACCTAACAAATGGATTTATTTTCTTGATGTAAGTTTGTATAGTCAAGTGTATCATTTTGTAAATAGTTGATTTCCAAGCGAAAAATAATTAGATATATATAATTGATTGGATTAATAAACATTATATATTCTGTACCTATTTACAATTTAAAAAAAAGACAAGGTTCTTTATTTAAACACATATTATTACCTGTAACTTGATATCAATATTTAATTTTTATTAACAAATTCAAATCCAAAAATGTTTTAAAAAAACTTATAAAAAATATATCTTTAATTTATTACTTAAGACTTATAAGATTTAGTTAAAAACAATTATTTATAATTAATTTACAAATTTATAAAAAAAACTTATCAATAATCACTACAATATATACAGATGTTATTTAAATTGATAAAGTCTTGATGTATTAAATAAAAATTATAATTACTTAAAAGATATTTTTTATTTTCAAAATTAAAAACAGGTTGTATTATAACAAAATTTAACAAATTACTTTATAAAATAAATATTGGTTTGATAAATATTAATATATAAATCAATTTTTATTTTAAATATCTATTATCATAAAGTAACAAAATAAATATTTAAAAAAATAAATAACAAATTTCACTTGTAATTTTTCAAAATATGTATTGATTTTTTATTAAATTAAAATAAAATATATTTAAAAAAACCCATAAATAAAATTATTAAATAAAATAAATACTTTAATATTTAATTATATTAATAAATTAATATCAAAAACATATTATTATTATTTGATAACTAAAAATTAAAATATAAAAGATTTATTGATAAATATTTTTTAAAAATTAATTTAATAATTTAATATTAGCATATCTATAATATTAATTTTAACTATTTTATATATCAAATATATAGTATATAAAATTGTTTTTAATATTAAATAATCAATAATTTTTTAAATTAATATATTATTTTATAAGATATCAAAAATATTAATTATTAATTATAGATTAAATATATTGATAATTAATTAAAAAAAACAAAATGTATTTGTTTTATATTAAAAATTTTTAAATAGTTAATAATTTTAATTTGTAAATTAATTTTTATTATTTTATTAAATTAAAAATATATTAATTATGATTAAATAGAAAATTTATATTTTATAATAAATAAATTTTAAAATTTTGATAAAAAACTCTTTCCACAAATCACAAAAATTTTAAAAATTTCCTTTTTTGGCAACTCAAGAAAAACCAAAGGAAATATCCAAAGGAAACATCAGGGAAAAACTATCCTTTAAAAAAAAACACTTTGCAACCACCTCCCAAGCAGGAAGAAGACACCAGAACAGGTATACACCAAAACTTTATAAACTAACTTCTCCTCTTTTCTTTTTTTTTAGCACACAAACAGAAACATACTTGGGATTTCTCACCAGGAAAGAGGAAAAGACAAACAATACAATTCACAGTTAAATCAAGAGAGAAAGTCAGCAT